AACTTAGACTGCTATTCGCTCGTTTCGGAAATCCGCGAGTAATCGTGTCGGACAACGGAACACAGTTCACAGCAAAGGAGTTTCAAGACTTTTGTGAAGAGCGAGGAATCCAGCACATGCGTTCGCCCCCATTCCATCCACAATCAAATGGACAAGCGAAAAGGTTTGTGGATATCTTCAAGAAAACCTTCCAGAAATTTAAGGAGGGAGGAACGACAGAGAAGCTTGCCGAGTTCCTGCAGTCGTATCGACGAACACCTTGTACAACTGCTCCAGGACAACGTTCACCTGCCAAACTGCTGCTGGGACGTCAGATGAGGACACCGCTGTCGCTGTTGAATGAAGATTCCAAAGAAGAAGGAAAGATGGGCAACGAAAATGGAGAAGCAGTTTAACCGCCACCATGGAACACGCAGGAAAGCGTACCAGCCAGAAGAAGTCGTGTGGGTACGTGATTTTCGCTCTGGATGTGAAAAATGGATTCCAGCACGAGTGAAGAAACGCTATGGAGAAGCGCTCTATGACCTGCTTACGGAAGATGGACAGTTATGGAGACGTCATGCGAACAAGATGCGCCGCGCCGCAAGTATGGACCGAAATCATGACTCAACACATTCCATCTCCGACGAAGGCCGACGTAACAATGGTATGGATGCTGCTGAACACCAAGCCACCTCGTCTACGCCACCGACATCAACCAGACCAAGTCGCCATTGTCGCCCACCAGAACGTCTACAAGTAGATCCTTATTGTAAGATGTACCGTTGTTCATCTTAGGAGGGAGGTGTTGTAGAGCCGTCCCTTATATTGGAACTTGCTCGCTCACTATAGGCTAGGTCGATATGGTCTCTGTGGTTGCGGCGTACCCGCCGCACCTTTGATATATTTGTGTGTTGTTCTCGAGCTATTCCTAGGTGAACCCTCGGCATGTACGCCGATAGGCAGAGGGGAACTTTTGTGTTTTTCTAATAAATCGTCAACGACTCAACGCGTTCCATACATCAACCTAAAAATAAACAAGTTAAGAAATAATCGCGGTATTAAGGAAGACTTCAAAGCAAAATGTAAACCTAATACACACATCCTATAACCGCCGAGGTGCAAAATTTCATAGTTATCCTCCCCCCTTTTTATCAATTATATAAATTTATAAAAGTAAAAATAAACATTACATTTCCACACTCATAAATATTATAACGCTCAACAGTATTCAACTTATCCTTCCCACTGAGTTCAAATATTCTCTTTGTAGTATACCTACTATCACTTCGATAAGCCACAGCTTGAAACAGTCAAAACTAGTTATAGTTGAACTTAAAATTTCCTTTTTATGACACTATACTTGATAAAGTTACGTTGATAGAATAAATAATAAGACAGTAAAAAACATAGTAACACTCAGAATTACCAGGAAATGTTTGAAGTGTAACATCTTTAGATGGTCTGGGAATTACTATTCTCAGATCAGGGGGTTGGCTATGGGTCAACGACTAGCCCCAGCCCTCGCGATTTGCTTTATGAGTAAGATAAAGGAGCCAATACTTGCACGCTTGCCTAAAATGTACTGTCGACACATCGACGACTGCTGCGTAATAACATCGACTCACTCCGAAATGGACGAATGTTTCGCGCTTTTGAACCAGCAGTCACAGTATGTTAGGTTTACCAGAGTAACCCCGTCGAGTGGGTGGCTTCCGTTCCTGAACACCCAGATAAACTTATATGGTGGCACGATTTGAATGAAATGGTACAGGAAAGAAAGCTTAAAGAATATAATAATCAGGGTTGAGCGTGGGGTCAGGCGCGCCTGACCTGGGGGGTCGCATTGGGGTAACAGCAGAGGTGCGATAGTTGGAGCCGAGTCTCCGCCTACCTTCACTTTTGAGCTGGTACCGGGTGACCACCTTCACTTTTGGGTTTGAAAAAAAATTCTTGCTGAAGATTAAAAGAAGGAAAATGAGCAAAAGAAACGAAAAAGAAAGTATTGAGAGCATATATCCATGTAGTAGGTCAATCTAGGCAGTAACCGCAGAGAACCAGTATTTCGAGTGACAAAGTAGCGAAAAATCATGCGAAATTTCCACTGTTATAAATCTGGTGGTCGAAGATGTCAGCAATTGCGACTTCATAGGTTTTGAAGAGCAAGTGCTGTTCTACCAGATAGTGGAAGAATCGAGTCGATTTGAGCAGTGGCCGCCGAGAACGAGAATTTCAAAAAATTAAGCGATTTTAGGTTGCTTAGTGACAGCTGACGTTTAAACTCCTATAAATCTGGAATGTGAAAATATGCAATGTTGCGACTTTATAGGTTTTGTGGAGTAAGAATTGCTCTACCGGAGTATGCCTTAGCCGTACCGATCCATTGAAATAGCGCCGAGATCCAGGGTCTTGAAAAAAAAACCGCTTTTTGAACTTCAACAGCTCATAACTTCTTCAGAATTGCATGAATCATGTTGCGACTTCATAGGTTTGATTCTTCTCATCAAGAGCTTTCAGATAATATATAGTATGTGGGGGTTCAATGATTTTTGCGGCTCTAACCCAGGGTGGAGACTTTTCACCCCAAAGTCTCCACCTCGCCCATGTTAATGTATTGGCCGGAGACAGCCAGTGGAGACTTTGGGGTGAAAAGTCTCCACCCCCGAGCATATGCCGTGAAAGGCGCGAATCCCCCACATATTATATATCATCTGAAAGCTCTTGATGAGAAGAATCAATCTATGAAGTCGCAACATGATTCATGCAATTCTGAAGAACTTATGAGCTGTTGAAGTTCAAAAAGCGGTTTTTTACCTGCTTTTTCAAGACCCTGGATCTCGGCGCTATTTCAATGGATCGGTACGGCTAAGGCATACTCCGGTAGAGCAATCCTTACTCCACAAAACCTATGAAGTCGCAACATCACACACCTTCAAAGTCCGGATTTATAAGAGTTTAAATGTCAGCTGTCACTAAGCAACCTAAAATCGCTTAATTTTTTAAAATTCTCGCTCTCGGCGAGTACTGCTCAGATCGATCTAATTCTTTCACTGACTGGTAGAACAACACTAGCCCTTCAAAACCTATGAAGTCGCAATTGCTGACATCTTCGACCACCAGATTTATAACAGTGGAAATTTCGCATGATTTTTCGCTATTTTATTATTTGAAATTCTGGTTCTCGGTGGTTACTGCCTGGATCGACCTACTTTATTCGCAGTACGTTATAACAAAATCTACTTAATGAAATATGTAAAGTCTAACTGGGATTTACTTACAAATAGACCATTTGAATAACATATTTATTTCTTTTTATTTTATTTTTATGCCGCTATACTCATCGTATTTGTGGCCCTAAAGAGGGCCGTTAGGTCACACTTGTTGGCCCTCAAGGAGACCGTTGGGTCAGAGCTCTTCAATTATCCGAAGTCCCCCCCCCCTTCTCCCCCCCCCCCGCCCCCCGGTCGACGTTTTTGGGAGGTGAGTGTCCGGCACTACCACCTTCACTTTTGGCCGGCCAGTGGTAGCTGGAACCACCTTCACTTTTGGGGGACCCGGCTCCACCTATCGCACCTCTGGGTAACAGCAAGGGGGGTCGTAATCAAGAATCGAGTTTATTCAAAAATGAGGAAATACTACGATCGAGTAAGGTGAAGAAGAAAAGCGCTCAACCGTGATTCTCACAATTCCACCAGAGGAATGACTGTCGTGAACAGCATGCTGGTTGACTCAACTAACGAAGTGGCAGCCATACACATACCGTAAGGTCACCAAAGAAGCTTTTTATGTAAATTGCATAATTTTCTTAATCAGCATGCCAAATTACCTCAACGAGCTCCACAAACCATTGCTTATTACACTTCCTGGTGTTTCCTAGCGTTTGAAAAGCATGATTTTGAAACATGATTAACTTCATCACAAAAGTGAAAGAAGTCAGCTTTTTAGCATTCATAAAGTATTGCTCTTTAACAATATATGGTATAAATTGGATTTCATATCGATCTCAAATAATGGATTAAGAAGTGCTGCCAAAATGTTAGTCACCGCGTTTTCTACCTCGAGTGCTTCAACTCCACCGATCACCACAAAGCCAAAACAAGTCGAGGTAAGCTCGAACACCTACTGTAGAATCTTCGAGGTTTGTGCTAGCGAATCATATAAAAGGTGGAAAAGTTTCTTCGGTGATAAAGTTAATCGGGTCAGGCGCAACCCTTCAAAAGCTCAGGCGGCCTGAGCTTTTGAGGGGTTGCGCCTGACCCCATTAACTTATCTTCAAACAACTGAAAACTTCCCATTTTTTCACTCAAACTTTTGATGGATCCTTTCTCTCCCCACAGCCAAAATTCTACGATTCAACCACCTCGAAAAAGTTGTTAGTGGTTAGTCCTACCCATCCACCCAAGACGAAGACACCGTCGTTTTTGCCCCGTTAATTTCGTCTTACTGTAAAACGCATCTCGTGCAGCGTTTCTGCACGGGATGGTGACGCGGCAAATTCGATTTTTCGACGTTTTTTGTTCCTTTTCTACTTTCCCTCTGTTTAGCTCTTGTCAGTATTCCTCCTTCACTTAAGCTGTTGTCATGTCCGTGTTAGAGTCGATTCTCATTTGTGCGGAAATGGATCGTAGAAATACAAGTTATGGAGATTTCAGCTATCAAGCCTTACTATATGAGAGCACGACAGCTCAGCAGATTTTCATTGCATGAGAAGCTTTCAAAAAATGCTGCGTCACATGCAGAGGACTGTAAGCATTAGAATTCTTCAATTAATCAGTGTCATCTCTTTCCCCAATGCTTTCAAACTATTACTTTCAAATTTTCCTTTTGCAGTCGCGCAGCTCCTGACTGATCGGCATGGATCTCCTAGTTTTAATCCCTTGAAGTGATACCATAATCCTGTGAAAAGCGCGTTTTGAGAGTGTAAAATTAATTTTGTCTCTTAGCATCTCTCCTTTTTAATCTTATCTATGTTTTCACAATTCGCATTTATTCCGAACAATTTTGATTAGCTTCATTGCAGAATGGCTGCTGAGGCTGAGAGGATAGAAAGGGTTTTGATCCTGGCAGTTGTGGTTTCTAAAGATTATATTTTGACGAAACTCACTGCAATGAAGGGATGTGGATGCAAGTGCCAAAAGATGTATGTCACTCACATAGATCTTGTTGTCAGATATTTGCACGTAAATGTTCAGCTTAAGGCCTTCTATAGGTCCTGCTTGAACTGCTCAAAACTTTCGACACAAATTTTGTAATCGATGGCGAGGGTGTCGGTAAGTATATGATCAACTTATGTAGTTCCAATTCGTGAATCTCGCGTTCAGCGCCGTTAAGGAATTGGTCTCGATAGTTGTGTTGTGCCACTTCGTCATCAGGGCTTGAATCTCGTACATACGACGGACTTCTTCTACCCGCTTGTTGATGAACTTTATTTAATGGTGAGGAGAATACTTCGAAAGTGTGTGATCGCAAATGGTATTGCTGATTAGTTGTATTCTAGGGTCGTGTCACATGCGCAAACGTCCTAAGTGATCTGTACGCTATGGCTGTTGTGAATTGTGTCAATATGTTGATGCTTCTTGGAGTAGCTGTCGATTTGGACGAACAGGAGCGTAATGTCATTGTCAGGATGTCTATGGAGAGGTTCGAAGTAAGTATCTCCCTGCATGTATTTTATTTTGTTTTATCTTATTCAATACTTCTTGGAGTTTCTAATGAAGGAACAGAAAACACAGATTTCTATACGTAACCGCAAGAATAGATCACTCTGCTTGAACCAGTCATTTGTGCAAGATGTTCCCTAAATCACCGCAGAAACTGCATCTCCAAGCTTTGAATTGCTGACCATGTTCTGAACGAAACGTTTTGCTTCTGTTTCCGATGTTTATGCACCTTGATCGCCGCGAATTCGTATAAGTGGCTCAAGAAGAAAAATGGGCGCGTAGAGGAATATGACCTTGATGAAAAGAAGATTAATCGGGCTTATCAGGAGGTTGTTGAGCAGATGACTCGTTTGAACAGGTAGTTGGACTATTTTGTTTTCATCTCATTTATCTCTTTATTCTTTTATGTAAGCATATTCCTTCATGTGTAAAGTTTTCATATGTTTAATTTCAAAACTTCAGGAATGCTGCAAAAATGCTACACAAATACAATGCCCATGCTTCTACTGATGTGAGTGGTTTTGGAATTCTTGGTTTGTTCACTTTTATCAATGTGGGCTGTGCATATTTGTTTGAAATTTGCCTGATCTCCTCTAATTGGGTGCTGACATCTCCATTTATTGACTAGTGACGTTTAGGTCATGCAACCTAGTACGAGCTCAACAAGACAAACTGCTTCTCGTAATTGAGCCTCTTCCAATAATAGAAAACATGGATGAAATTGCGCGCAAGATACCGAATGGGAATGGATTTAACTTGCTCGGAGGCGCCGCGCTGCGACTAGTGGTGGCCTACTCTAGTGGTTGCTCTTAGTTCTGAAAAATGCTGTCTTCTCTATTTTATAACTTATCACCCCTGTAATCATGTGTTTAGCCGTACTTTGGCATAAAAGCTTTCCTTTTTTCGAGAAATTTTCACGATGTCTCTGCATGCAGATCTTCTTGCATTTCGATTGCGGTAGTTAGTCATGATTAGTCGTGTTGGAGAACTGTCACAACCGAAATGCAAGAAGATCGGCATGCAATGATATTGTTACAGTTGTGTTGTCGCAATCAGTCGTGACGAGAAGCGTGTGAACTCTGCCCGAGGCCTAACCCTGACGGGATGGAAAACCTCTATCTGAATAAGACTCGTGGGAGAAGCCGGTTTTTGCCATCAAGGCGATTCTCGGAGCATAACGGATCTCAAGTAGGCAGAATGTTGGGTTAATTTGTAACCCAGCGATGCATCCAAACTTGTTTTCTCTTTTACTTTCTTTTTATCATCAAAGGGTGGTGGAAATGACAGCAATCACGGCTAATTGGTTTGGACCCTCCAAAATTTTAACAATTTGTGTTTTGGAAGTAGACAATTTTAGTGCTTTTGTAACCTTAAAGGCAGTGTCAGGGCAAAAAGTCGATTCTGAGATTTTGTGCTTACACGGTCCTATTCGCTATGCTGAATCCGAAAATCCACATTAGAAAGCGCGAAAACGGCGAAAAAAACTCTAACGCAGGAGGAAAATCAAAAGTGGGCGGGATTTTCCCCACTGCGGATTCACGCTCCAAGCTTTCGGAGCGATCTTCTCGGTCCCGATTTCAAGGCATGCATTTGCACCTGTCCTCTGGAGATCTCAGGGCGCTAGCGGAATTGAGAAAATCGCTTCAGAAGCTGGGACCGCGAAATTCACAATGGGGAAGACCCCCCCCCCCCACTTCTGATTTCCCTCCTGCGTTAGAGCCCTTTTTCGCCGCTTTCGCGCTTTCCAATGTGGATTTTTGAGGTCAGCATGGCGAATAGGCCCGGGTAAGCACAAAATCTCAAAATCGACTTTTTGCCCGGACACTGCCTACAAAGTAAATTAGTTCACAGTACTGGTCGTGCTCTGCGGAGGACTAGAAACAGAAATTGTACTGTGAAGTTTTATCAAAGTCATTTCGTTTTCTTATATGAATGATGCGCTTTGCGTTTGGTTTCAAAGAACTGCATCTAATACCATTCACTAGAATTCTCTCCTAACAACCCATAGAAATGAAAGGATCTGTTTGCGCTTTTGTCAGAATTTTATTTTCAAAACCCATACCAAAGGTGGAGTCGATAGATTTATGTTACAATTTGAGAAAAATGCTACCAGAAAAGTCATTACAGCAGGGCTCTTCAAATCAAATAAAATTCCAAAAAATGTTAGAACCACTGTCATATGGAACAATTATTATTCCTGTTACTATCTGTACAGAGATGTAATGATCCGAACTTTTGCATGAAATCTCTTTTCTCCCTCCATCCTCGTCCCCTTTCCCAGCCTCCCTCCCTCGTCTACCTCATCCCATTAGAGTGTTGTTTCAAAGTTTTGCGCTGTAAATTTCGACCTCTTTGTACCTTTTATTGAACCGCTGACTTTGAAGGAAAAAAGAATTTTGCGAGCATTGCTCACATCATTTGAAAGCTTATTTCTTCTAGTTTTTCATGTATGCTTTCATTTTCAAAGTGCTTTTACAGCAAAATAAATGGCCAAAAGAAGGATTCTTTTCTAAAAGTTTTTAGTGTTTTTCGAGAGTTTTTAGTGTTTCTGTTTTGTCGTTGTGTTTTGCTGATTTCTTTTCCTCTATCGCGCTCCAAAAAGAGCTCAACAAGAAGTCGACAACAACTCCACAAAAGATACTAAATTTTGAAAATAACGTGAATAACACTAAAATCATCAGCGAGTTGTCCAAGCCGATGTCAATGAGCGATGTAAGTCATCTTTTCCTCCTTCATGATTCAAGCACTCATCGATCACATCGAAGGACCGCTGTCGAAAATCATCCAACTTCACGTGGCGATGTTAATGTTGATAAAATAATGATGTTAGAAAATGTTAATGTGTTGCCTATAAAATTTTTTTGTTAATGTGTGGCTTATAAAGTGCCTGAAGTGTTTTTTGTTTATCAATAAAGAGTGTGTGCTCGAAGATTATGTTTGCTAGGAAAGGCGAGAGCTGGATAGGAGGGGGGGGGGGGGGTCGTAATCTAACACGACCATAGGGGGGAGGTAGTTTTCGGCAGGGCTGCGCCTGACCCCTTGCTCAACCCTGATAATAATCATACCTTCGATAGTCAGGAGACAGAGGCTAAAAAGTGATAATTGTTTGAGTTCCTCCCCCTATAGAAAGTGAAGGTTGTTTTGGAAAAATAGATGGAAATTTAGAGTTATGAATCGAACCAGGAAACCTGAAAAATTCATATAAAGCAGAGGTTAGCACATCACTAAATTTGAAACCTTAATTTGGTGGTTTCCGACGCACAGTTTCCTCTTCAGGATTGCCGTTTAAATTATGTGGAAACAAGAACAAAGTTCTTTTCCAGTTAAAAAAAATCGCTTTAGCTGTGGTGCTAATTGCGAGACGGAAAGAAGGAAAACTTGTCAACAACTGAGTTGAACATGTTAAACACGTCTGAAAAGATATGTTGCACCTCAACGCCAATTTGATCTTTGATGCGTCCTTTAAATTTTCACCCCCGCATAGTCGTTTCGTATCCTGCGACGTTGTCTGGATTCGTCCGCTCATCATTCTGAGCAAGTATCGTCCAAGCTGGAAAAAATTCATTGCAAAAGCATTGTAAGAGAACAAGGTAAAGAAAAACGCACTTTTTAGTTAGTAAGTTCCAAGTTTCCTCTTTTGTTAACCTCGGCATATTTCGATGTGTTAGTAGTTTAGTAGGTTAGTAAGCCGAGCGAGGTTAGTACTTTATTAGTTAGTGGCGGCCTGACGTTTCGACTGGATCGTCTTCTTCAGAGGCCTAAAGTGGTAAGAGATCAATGATTGTATGCCTTACCCCACCAGAAACCTCTTCCATCCTGGCTAGCCTCGACTTCACCCCCGAATGCTACAAACGAAAATACGCAGAAACGTGAAAGACGAACCAACCTCCTCCGCCGCTGCCGCGTAGATGTTGAATGCGGCCGTCCTCGAGTGCCACTGGTACTAATAGTGAAATATGGTCATACCGTGTTGACACTAAACACTAGCGGCATTCTTCAACTCACATAATTCCAGGAAAGGCATAAAGTCATTTGTGTGCCCAGTCTTTTACAGTCTTGTTAAAACCCATAAACTAGCCGCTACTGATGACGTGCGCAATTTGAACGCGGGACAGTTGAAAATAAGACCTATTATAAGTTGCGTAGGAGGACCAACCGATCGAATATCCTGGTTCTTGAACAAGACTGTCAATCAGTTACTGGACAAAGTTCCGTCTCACTTAGCCAACACGAATCATTTCTTGGAACGCCTTCACAACACTACTTTGCAAGCGCAGTGTGTAGCAGAGTCGTTTGACGTCGTGTCATTGTACACGAATGTTCAGAATGACGATGCTTTACAGGCAGTTTCGGAAATGTTGGACTCCTTTGGTGAGAAGATTTAGACTTTTGGGCTGAGCAAACGATCGATTATGCTCCTGATCAAAGAATGCCTTTCTTGTAACATCTTCAAGTGTTCAGGAACATACTATACTCAGCTGAGAGGTCTTGCGATGGGACAAAGACTTGCTCCAGTGCTCGCGATCTGCTTTATGAGTAGAATAGAAGAGCCAGTGCTGTCGCGTTTACCTCTAATGTACTGTCGTTATATAGACGACTGTTGCGTTATAACATCAACACAATCGGAAATGGATGAGTGTTTCCGATTACTCAACCAACAGTCACAGTACATAAGGTTTACGCGGCAGCAACCGAAAAATGGTTGGCTTCCTTATCTCAACGTACAAATCAAACTGTCCAACGGCGCTGCGAATGTGAAATGGTATCGCAAAGAGAGTTCCAAGAATATTTTGGTTAATGCTCGCTCCGCACATCCGACCACTGTCAAAAGAGCTGTTATCCGTAACATGCTCAAAACAGCAACGAACGTATGCACAGGAGAAGAAGAACGGAAGGAGTCGCAGAGATGGGCGCTGGATATTGCTCGAATGAATGGCTACACGTTTCAAAATGGACGTGGTAGACCATCTATCTCCATCAATAGCAACCAGCACCAACAGAAAATACCTCTCTGTCTTCCTCTCGTTTCTGACGCGACTAGTGCTATAGTGCGACGATGCATTAAACACGCGAACCTCGAAAACGATGTCATTTTGATTGACATTCCAAGTGATAACATCAGGAAGCGGCTAGTACGTAACAGACTTTACGACAACTACTGCAAAATCCAAGACTGTGTAGTTTGTCCATCCGGTAAAGTTGGTGACTGCGGTAAGACCGTTGTGATATATGAGATCAAATGTATTGAGTGCAGCGCCACTTATATCGGAGAGACTGGGAGACCGTTATGGGTAAGAATGAAAGAACATCTTGCCAGCAAGAGACGGGGAAGTCTTACCACACCGCTCGGTAAACATAGAGTTGAATTCCACTGTGGTAAGGACTTCGAAATCAGATGTACTATACTGGCACACGAGTATGACACTGCTAGTAGAAAAGCTCTCGAGGCATTCTGGATTTTCGCAAGAAATCCATGCATGAACAGCCGAAATGAGTGTGCGTCAATCACGAATGAGTTTATGCCTTTCCTGGAATTATGTGAGTTGAAGAATGCCGCTAGTGATTAGTGTCAACACGGTATGACCATATTTCACTATTAGTACTAGTGGCACTCGAGGACGGCCGCATTCAACATCTACGCGGCAGCGGCGGGGGAGGTTGGTTCGTCTTTCACGTTTCTGCGTATTTTCGTTTGTAGCATTCGGGGGTGAAGTCGAGGCTAGCCAGGATGGAAGAGGTTTCTGGTGGGGTAAGGCATAAAATCATTGATCTCTTACCACTTTAGGCCTCTGAAGAAGACGATCCAGTCGAAACGTCAGGCCGCCACTAACTAATAAAGTACTAACCTCGCTCGGCTTACTAACCTACTAAACTACTAGCACTTTTTAGTAATTTTCAGAAAAAACCCGGCATAAGCAAAGAAGTAAGCTCAGCGACGTTGTCTACGTCATAGACAGAAACAGGACCTATCGAATACACAAAAAACCGAGTGAAAAGAGTTAAATTGAAGAATAAACAAGAGGTTTTTGAAAACGCCGTTTTTTCCATATTTCTTATTTAAATCGTAAAAAAGAGTCTTGCGACGTTGTCAGCGTGAAAATAGAGACCAGGAGCTTTTATATGATAGATAGATTGTCGAAATGGGCTCCAAGCAACGAAACAGACCAGAGCCGGCGGGGCATTTGGCTCTGGTCATTGATCTCCGCGAGGTCATAACGGAATCCTATAACATTATATATCGTTGTGATCCTCATGAGACGACCAGGAGCACTGACAACGTCGCGGATCTTGAAAATCACTTCATAACGAGATAGACTATTTATGTGGTAACTTTCGGCGCAAGATTTGAGCGTAGTTTCTCGTTTTTATTGAACTCCAGCGGCTTTCATGAACTTCCAACTCTCAGTCGCAGTCTAGGGAAAGGTTATCTGAAGAATTTCCGAATAAATCTTCTTTTCAGCAGAAAAGGCTACAAAAACGCAATCCTTTTGTTCTTTAGATTTTATTTCAAATATCACTTATTGAACTTGCCTCATTCACATTCACTCCTATATAGCTATGACATAATATCCGGAGCTTCGCTCCGGATGACTTCTGTACTTCTCTCTAGGTGAAAGTTGTGTTCTATCATGACGCTCAAAGTGAAGGTTACCAGAGTACATGGCTCTATGTACCGGAAGTATGATAATAATACATGCAAAGTCAGCGCATCCTACAACAACGAAACGTGCAATTCTTAAGAACATGTACAGAACGGCTGTAGAAGTTTGCCTGGCGAAAAAGAGCGGCTCGAATCCAATAGATTGGCTACAACGATTGCGCGCAACAATGGCTACACAGATCCGCATATTGGTAGACGTCCACGATCTAGTGGTAGTCAAACTGCACGTAACGACAAGGGACCTCCACTTTGCATACCTTTCATCTCCGATGAAATGAGTGCAGCTATAAAGCAGTGCATTACTCGAGCACAACTGCAAAATGAGGTTGTACTGGTAAACATCCCGAACGAAAGTATCAGGAAGCAGTTGGTGCGAAACAGGTTATACGATACAAAATGCGTATCAGAGCAATGCATTGTTTGCCCATACGGAAAATCAGGAAATTGCGCGAAGTCAGAGGTCTTATACCAACTAGAGTGTTCAAGTTGCGGAGCGTCCTATATATGTGAGACGGGCAGAGCATTGAATATCAGGGTCAAAGAGTACTTAGTAAACAAAAGACGAGGGAAATTGGTATCACCGTTAGGAAAGCATAGATTTGAAGCACATGGCGGAGCTGAGTTTGAAGTCAAATGTTTTATCTTGGCGTACGAGACAGAAATTTCTGCACGAGAGATGCTGGAAGCTTTGTGGATCTCTTTGAAGAGCCCAAGCATGAATAACAAGAATGAATGCCTGTCAGTGACAAATGATCTTCTGCCTTTTCTATCACTATGTGAACAGTCGCTGCCTTCTCAGACGGTCGGTGCCGTAGCTCCGGAGCACATTCGAAATCTGGCAGAGCCACGGAGGACCCAATTGACCATAGAGAGCGGGGGCGAGGGGGCGGTCCCTTCTTGTAGGTCACGGTGACGTCACAAGCAGGCGAATGGGACCCCTCTCCGGGACGCGCAAATCTCTGCTCCGGAGGTACGCCAGATTTGGGAGAACCCCGGAGCAGAGATTTGCGCTCCGGAGGTACGCCAGATTTGGGACACCTCCGGAGCAGAAAATGGCACGGCTCCGAAGCACAAATGGGAGGTCTCCGGAGCACAATAGATACGCAGCCAATTTGCTGTGATACGCAGCTTAGCATTTTCGAAAATAAGCTGCCGTCGCTCTCGACTTACCCTTTTTTTTCTCTCGCGCTCGCTTTTCTTTTTTTTGGTTTTTCGTGTTCTCGTCGGCGCGTTGGCGTTTATGATGTTTTGGGTTATTCGTTTTCAGGTTTATTTTGGATTTTCGTGCGGATGCCTCAATCCTTTTGGTGTACGGGTCTCGTTTTCGACTTGCTGTCGTTTTTCCGCGTTCTTTTCCGTTCTTTTTTCAGTTTTCAGGTTTTAGGTCTTCGCGCGGATGCACTTAGTCACTTTTAGTGTTTGGCTCTTTTCGACTTGCTGAGACATCGTTGACTATTGATGGAGTGGTTTTTGTGATAGATCCTGGATGTTCGAAACAAAAAGTTTATAAACAATTTGTGTTGAGTCACTTTTAGTATGACCGATATCTAAAGCAAGTGCTATGTATGCAACGTGCTGGTCGCGCTTGTCGTATTAAGCCTGGTTAGCTTTTCGGTCCTAATCGTTCCCACATTGGGAAACTTCGCATTTTAGGAAAGTGTTTGCGGAGATCCCTTTGTTGCTCTATATGCTCACGAGCTTTCTGAGGTACCCAGTCCTCCAGAATCTCATGTACGAAAAAGTCTGCCTTGCATATCATGATCAGGTATTGTAATGCTTGCTCAGCTTAACCTAAACTTTCGTTTCTAGGACTTGTCTTTTTGTTTGAATGTATCAGCCTTTCACTCTAAAGTCATACAAGCTGGAGCGAATCACTTTTATTTTAATCATCCATCGTACTGCTTCCGTCACTCCTTTCAACTCTAGCATTAGAAGCAGGTGAGGTGGGGATTGCTATGATTTTGGTAGATTATACATGACGTTGGAACAAAGTCATTTTAGCTGCGAATATGTGGAGCAACAAAGTCCCACTCTAATTCGTTTTTTGGCTTGATCCTTTGCACAACAAACAACATCGTTCAAACCGTTTACATGACCTTGTCAGTTTATATGCTGCTCATAAGCGACGCTCCGTTTAGCATCTGTAGCGGATATATTTCAGTTCCTTGTGTTTTTTTTTTCTGTTGGAGTGTTTATGTTGACGTGAGTTAATTTTGTGAGGCTCAATGCACGCGAAAGGCACTCGCCTCTGTAAACTCTACTCGTCATAAGATATGTTATCATTCATTCTTTGATTAAGAGACGCGAGCGCGCTTTGCGTATACATTTCACTAACAAGTCATGAATGAGTTTGACTACTACCGCGTTCGATTGATTTACTATTAGATTTCGTGGAAGAACATGTTTGAGCTCGTTGAACCACGCTGGCTTGAACACTTTCTTTTATGTATTCCTGATATTAAATAATCAAAACGCGGTAGAACTCATCCATGAACTTGTTGATCAAACGTACGCAGAGCATGCTCGCGTCTCTTAGTCAGAGGATGAATGATATACCCTCGATATCATCCCATATGTCTTCCTTCAACATGACGTGGATTTGGCTTGATGAGGCGCCGCCTCGCGTCGGGCTTGCGCCACGTTGCGTGCGGCGTGATGTGGCAACAAGAAGAACGTGGAAAAGCCTGCGCCACGTTGTGTTGAGCGCCACGTCGCGCCAAATGCTAAAACGCATCGATTGAGAGTCTACAGCATCAGCTCAAAATTTTCCTGTTTTCAATCCTACAAAAAAGCGGAGACGCGGGGTCAGATAGGGGAGAGTGAAGGAGGTGTAGGTGTAGAAGTTGAAGTTCCAACAGGTGTAGAAGTTGTTGAAATGAGCTAGGCTTCTCAGAAATCAGAAAAAATAATTTTGCTTCAAGAATTTCACAATAGCTAAAACATGATCAAATTCGGCGAGAATTGGAGCTAGGCATCAGAAGTTATTATTTTTGCTGTTAAAATCATACAGAAATGATCGGTTACAAATCTAACACTTGCTAAAAATGTGATTAAATCTATCGACAAGTGGGGCTTGATTATAATTGTTGATTTTTCGATCAGTGAGATTGTTCGCACTGCTATTGGCACCAAATCAGCAAAGAAGCTATTAAATTCAAGCACATCTTCCGAGTATATATTGAAAGTGTTTTGAAATGCCTGTTTTTCTTTCTTTGCATTACCCATGCTTGTGGTACGCAAAGGCCACACTCAAGGTCAAGGTGAACACTCTTGCTCGCATAAGTTATATTGCACAACTGCCTCTATTCGCTACCTTAGAGGTTTTTGCAAATTGGTGTATTTTGAGTAAAAGACATCGCAGCTGTAGTGGAGGATTACACGGTTTAGATCGCCGTACGCGATTTGCCAGTTACGAGATGTCTTCAATTGTAACGCCAGCTTACCACAGATGTTTAGCGTCTAAAACTTACTAAAAAGATAAATGCCCTGCATTTTGTACTTTTAGAATAAGTTTATCGATTTTATCGATTCTTGATGAAGTCTTAACTGCGGGGCTGGGAGTTGGTACAAGGGGGTAAGTGAGGGTGCTGATTATGGATAAAAATTTACTTTATCGATTTTGTCGATTTTTAGAGATTCTTGAGCTACGAGGTCGGGAGATGGTACAGGGGGGTAAATGAGGATGCTGATTGAAACCGAATCTATTTTATCAAGTTCAGCGATTTTTTGAAAATTTTGAGCTAGGAGTTAGTATAGGGGATACGAGGGTGCTGATTATGAATGGATCGGCTTTAGCCAGATATGTCGGCAAGTTTGAGATATGGTTGCTCTACTTATTCGATACATCATTCGAATATTTATTCGAAATTCGACTTTCAGTGTTCGAATATATTCGATATTCATTCATTCGATATTTTTGATTTTCCGAATTTATTCGGAATTCATTCATTCAAGAATTTTTGAACCTCGAATTTATTCGATATTCGTTTATTCGAGATTTTTCAATTTCGAATTTATTCGATACTAGCTGGCTTACCCGGTTCCGCCTGGCCCTGTCAAAAACGGAAAGGTTCCATTTCTATCCCTGTACACCTTTACCTGTGCCCACTTCTACATTCCCTATTCCCGCTGCGTGAGTAATCAGTATGCTCACCTATGTCAGGATTAAGGGTTCGCGATTCCCTTACCTGATGTGTAGCGGTACAGGTTGGTATTATATATATTTATTATCTACATATATTACAGGAAAGGGGAAGGGGGAGGACTGACTAAGCAGCCTTACGGTGCGCGGTCGTAGGGGGTCACTGGCTCCTATCTGACCTTCTCGGCCAGCTCACGGGAGAGCAGCAGGCGGAGCTTAGCTGCGTCCCGACATCTCCATTCCTTCAGAAAGCTCGTCCTCGAGCTTGTTCGGCTGTTGTTGAATGTCTTCCGAGTTACGTGTGTAAAGGGTACACGTGTTACGGCGAGACCATAGAGAACTTCGATTTGGGTACCATAATCTTCAGACTGATTGAGTGGAGGAGTTGGCTTAGGCGGATTGGATAACCAAACAGCGACCTTCACCTCATCCTAGGGGTACAGAGTGAGCTTGTCCTCAAGCGGAGAGATATATACGGAATGAACGATGTGACGTAGGGGACTGCTTGGGAGAGGCAGTAACATGTAGTTGTAGGAAGTGAACAGGCGTATTATAGCCGGAAATTGACGAATGGGAAAGTTGGCGTGGAGATTTATAGGAGTATAATGTGACCGGTATTTGAATGTTGATACGATGAAGTTATGGGTTGAAGGGCACTTGTTGTAGAACATGATAATGAAAAAAAAGATAGTGTTGTGAGCAGAAATTACTAGCTAACAAAGTATTGGGCGGTATTGGATGACATTAGCAATTCTGAAGTATTTTACATAAAATAGTCAAGCTACATACGGAATTTTAGGACGTGTGATATAATAAGGTATAATAAGGCATTGCATAATTCAAACTGAATCATAAACTGAGTGGTTATACATCATATAAATAATGCAATTGTTTAGAAAACGGAGAGGAAGATTTGGATGCAGAATTGAGCACAACAAACTGTGTTTAATTCAACATAGTGGCAAATTTTGAGTGTTAGAGAAATGGGAAATTTTTTTTCGCTGCTTAGCACAAAATATTTTTTTCATTCTTTGAACTGCCGGTTCAAAGAAATTTTATGCTTATAGATAATCGCAGCGGTGCGGCAAAATAGGTGTAAACAAACTCACGTTGAGAAATATCCCGACAGCAAAAAAAATTAAAACTCTGATAGTCGGATTTTTTCCAAACTGAGTTGCATAAAATTGTCTTGCAGTCTTGCGACCAATTTCAAGACTACATTCGTAAACAAAACAAACATGATGTCGTTCATGTTCTGATGTTTCCTTTTTTTAAATTGTTTTGATAATTTTGAAATAGTGCGTTTTTGGAAGCATTAGCCCATTTTCGACATAGACAACATGAAAATGCAAACCAAATTATACAAATGAATTAGCAGTACATTTTGGTATAGTAAAGTATAAGAATAGAACGTTTCCACTGCAGAAACTACGATATGTGACTTTTGAGTCATAAGTAAAATTCAGCGGAAATGATCCTAACATCATGTGTGATTCACGACTAATTTGTAATTTATGAAAGCTATCTATGTTTCTTCAAGTCCAGATACAGTATAGAAAACTCTATGGAATATTGTTCCTGAATTCTGCTGAAATCTGTAAAGGAATCATTACCATCGTTTTCTAGAAAAAAAAGGACTGGGTGACGTGAAACGTACGAAACATGTTTTTTTTTCATTGCAAAGGATGAATTTCGGTGCGACAAAAAACTATGCCTTCACTGCTTATTGTAGCTTCTGCTTATCATCTTTCAAAAAAATGCGGTCATTTCTTCCGATCAGAATATCAATCTGGATATCTGAACATGTTCAGAAGCACTGAGGATTTTTTTTGCAAACAGCAAGTTATTTTTTTCTGCGAAGCGTTTCGGTTAAAAGAGAATTGTTCTCTGAAAACAATCTCCATTCAGCTACAAGTAATATTCTCTGAAAATATTTTTAATTGTAGTTCTGATTGCTACGTTTAACAACGTAATGCAGACTTGGTTTGTGCAATCGCACAAAACTGGAGGAACTGCTATATTCCAATGTTCTTACCAATAGTGTGTCCATTAATTCAAATCAAAGTCATGAGCGCGGTTTTCAATGAACTACTACAATCGATGCATGTTTTACAAACATTTTGCGAGCTTCTTCTTTGTTTGAGTATGTGCTCACAGGTCTTATCCAAAAATGCTGGGCAACAAGCCGATGTAAATTACTCAGAAAAAAAACTTTTTGCTCTTTGGGGTTGTCAAACTCAAATGTCAATGCAAACAAGACGACGATGAACGCATTTTTTTTAAAGAAATTTTTTTCATCAGATTTGTACACAATCAGTAGAAAAAAAATTACGTCATGGAAACATCTCGAAATCTTTTAAAAAACGTTCATCCAGAAACATAGTCTTTTTTTTTTTTTTACCCACGCTACCTGTTGAATTTTCTTAACATGCAGAACTGGAGCTTGGCCGAGCTGTTCGTTACTGTCGTTGAATTCAGGGGTGCGAAAGCAGTAAATAGTAATTTCAGACTTTATGCTAGCCTTGCTCACACATCTCAAAAGTAGTCCGATCTGCAGAAAAAGGTGCCATTTTATCACTTTGTATGTAGCGACGGTTGTGGTGTAAACAGATACATCTGAATTGCAATCAAAGTGGGAATTGCTTTTTTTTTCGTTAGAACTAACAGTTTTGGATTTTTCAGGTACCTCATATTGTAAGGCACCTAAAAGTGTTTGCGATAAAATTGGTTTCGAAATTCTTACAAAAATTAATAAGCTTATTTGAGAATTGATTGTGTCATGGAA